TGCAAAAGAGAAGTAAGAGGCATTTGTCTGTTATTTTCAGGTAAATGTAATTTGTCTAAATTTGAACATTAAGACACCGTTCTGACAATGGCTTAAGCCAATGACCCAGGACCATGAACTGCATTTTTGAAGCTGGTTTACTTAAACATAAGCAGTGCTTTAAAAAAAAAAAGGTGCTGGAACTCACACACGTCATAGAACCCGCCTTGCCTACCCTACAAGGTTCCATCCAAAAAAGGTGCCAGAACTCTGTTCTGGGAATTCTATGAGAAAAAAAGCCCTGGACATAAGATTTAAGTAATTTCAGCTTTGAAACAAAATATTGAGCTTAGTCAAGTTAAACTAATTTATTCGGTCTATATCTAAGGTTTCATCTTTTTAACTTGATTAGAAAGTTCATTAGTATAAACCAGAAGTGAATGTTCACACTTTGCAGAATGGTAGCTAAGATTACAACACAGAGAAACATTTTATTTACTTTATGTATTTGTATCCTGCCTTTATTATTTTCATTAAAAAGGTGGCGAACATATCCAACACATCTTCCTCCTCCTATTTTCATCACAACAACAATCCTATAAGGTGAGTTGGGCTGAGAAAGTGTGACTGGCTCAAAGTCATCCAGCTGACTTTCATGGCTAAGACAGGCCTTGAACTCACAGTCTCCCACATTTTAGTCTGGTGCCTTAACCACTAAACCAAACTGGCTCTCTTTTTACATCAAGCACTTTTACTCAAATACTTTTTATCTTTAAAATAAACAGCCAAACTGTTACAGCTAAATATGAGAATGTGTTAATTTGGGCACACTCGGCAGACCTTTTCCTTAAAGGAAATTGTGGAGAGTTTCAGAAAGTTTCTGGAAGTAATAGGGTAGGGTTTGGAGGTCATTACACATGTTTACCATAGTGTAAAAGGGCACCAGCAGTTAAGTGGAATGTGGTTTCTTCCTAGTTCTCAGCAGCACTTACAGAAGGATTTGCCAGTGACTCCCTCAAAGGTCTCTTTGTGGGCATTGCCAACAAGGAAATCTTTGTGGTATTCCTGTTGATGTTTTGAAGAGTATAATACCACCTACTATACTGTTAGATTTATGTATATGAGGATATCATATCAACAATTGATGAATTCAAGTGCATATTAGCTCAGAGTCTAGTTTGATTGAATAAGGAGGGCTGGTATCAAAAAACTTGGCAGCTGTTCTTTTGTTATAATCAGAAGAAAGAACTTATTTAGACCTGCTAGGAATCCCAAACTCCAAATTCATTGCTACTTTTGAACTTATTGTTGCCACTCAAGCAAGACAGAAAAAACTAATGTCCAAGAACTGTATTACTATAGGTGAATGAATAGAGAAGTGTTACATGAATGATTTCAGTTTATAATTTCTTAAACTATTGTGTATTGCAAGAGAAAGATTAAGGTGCATGGGAAAATCTTATAATAATCCAGAAAGAAAACAAAATGAACTAAATGATTTCAAGAATGTTTAAAAGATGAATAATAGTTAATATTTTCATGTTTGAAAAGTATACATATCAGATTCACTTTAATATAGGATTTTGATGAAAGGTGAAACTTGAAACTTGAATGGCAACATCACGAGAATTTGAGTGAAAATAATATCTTTTGAATTATTTTTGTTTGTGAAGCATATTTAGTTTTTAACAAAACACTAATTCCAAATATATACAGATATTGAAAAGAATCATCTTTTGCTTGCCATGAGAAAACATTTCAGGAGTAAAATTAATGTGAATGAATCTCTCCATTACATTTGATCAATATAAACTAACCGTACACATTAGCACAAATGAAAAGATTTAAATATAATGCAAATCACGTGTCAGTTATTTTAGTATCTTTAAGGTTTCCTGAGATAATAGTAACCTGTAAGGTATTGAGATAGGCATACATTTAATTCCAGAACTGTCTGCTTTTTGGACAGATCTAGCTTCTTGTTTCTCCATCACTGCTCCTGTTCTAGGATTTGAGAATCAAAGGTCTTACTGCTGGTTGAATAACTATGTACTGGTCTTAGATAACCGACTGATTTTAAGAGAGCTAATTATAATGTTAGAGTCCATGTAATTAATTTTCAGATTAAAGAATTTGATTTGAACATTCTGCGGCTTGCATATTCTAAATCAGGTTTACCACTGAATTTCATCTTGCCCAAAGAATACATTCCCCACCCTTACTCCCACAGTATTTATTCGTGCAATGCCTGGTCTATTAAGCCTTATTTAGGAGAGTAAAATGTAATTCTCCTAGAATGCATAAGTTGATATACAGTTTGATATTGCACAACTAGTTATGCCTGAGGGTTTAATACATACTGTATATATTACTGTTTAATGTATGGGAATAAATGTGGCTTCTTTTGCTTTAAAATACCTAACTGATACATATTTGTTATTTAACTAAAGCCAGTAGAAGCTTGCCCCTTGATTTTTGACAACACAGATATTTGGTTCTACAGTTTTGTCTGGATTCTGCTAATAAAATAGTAAGAAAATTCTATACTGAGCCAAGCAATAAAAATATTTCCAGCTTTATTAATGTGAATGAATCTCTCCATTACATTTGATCAATATAAACTAACCGTACACATTAGCACAAATGAAAAGATTTAAATATAATGCAAATCACGTGTCAGTTATTTTAGTATCTTTAAGGTTTCCTGAGATAATAGTAACCTGTAAGGTATTGAGATAGGCATACGTTTAATTCTAATTCTTTAGAAGTAGAGTGGCAGAAAAATATTTTCTGAATGAATATATGTCTATAGATGTTATTTCTATAAGAAATTATTGGACCATATTGTTAACCTAACAGATTTTGAATGGTATTTTTAAAATTATGTAACCCTAACTCATGTTTGTCTCCTTGCAATATTAATTAATATATGATTTTAAAACAAATATAGTTCATAAAGTCTTGTTACAGGCCATTTCTCTTGCCGTCTTCTATAGGTATGCAGTCGTTGATTTGTTATTAGACTCTGAAATACTAATAACAAAATTAGGTTATTAGATTATTTTTCCTATAGTCAAAACTTGCATAGATTCAGAAGGCAAAAAAGAATTCAGCAAAGGGCAATAACAAAACAGTACACCATTGTCAGCTGTATGAAGCAGACTACATAAAAAAAACCCAATCCCACAGTAAGACTATAGCTACAGTATCCTTTAATGATATAGATTGTAATAATAGAATCTTCCAAGTCTACGTATATTTTATCTTCCATTCCCCTTATATCCTCACTGAGTCAGAGAGGAGGCACCTATAATATTATCTATAATGGTTTCTTAAATAGGGCTGGGATAATGTCCTTTCTGGGATTTTAGACAGCTAATGCCTGTTACTGGAAAGACCTGCCTTCCCAACTGTGGGCTTGGTGGAAGAAAATATTAGAAGGTATTGGCCAACACTTTGGGAGGGCAACAATGTAGAGAACATGGATAGCATTCATACTAAATTAAATGGACTAATTGTTTGAGAATAATTCATCTTACTGATATATTTTCCCCTATAATATGTCTCAAGACACTATATATTTCAGTGATCTAACTTTTGGTGAACTACATAAAGTTGGTGATAGAGACAAAGCTAAGTGATATTATTTTTAAGTTTTTAATCATGCTAGAAATAATGCAGCAAAAAAATTGAAATAATAACTATTACGTAACATGATTATCTTTCAAGTATGAATTCGAATAAACAGGCTGAAATGAAGACTTAGAAACATTTAAACCATGAGATTCTGTGGTTCTTGTAATCGAGTTCTTTGCCATGTGTTTTTAAGTACATATTACCAAAATATATTTTGGAAGGTTGTTTTGGCCTGCCCTAATTTCAAAATTGTTTTTAATGTAAGGCACTCACTTTTTAATGAAAAGAGTCACTGATATTTTAGTTTCTTTCATTTCTTGTTTGGCCCATGCTGAAAAAAGAGACCTATCATTTAATAACAAAATGTTACCATTGCTGTTGTAGAATTTGAAATAAACGCACCTTTTAATTTTCATTTTCTATGGATATGGTTGCTATACTGAAACTCTGCAAAGTGACTGAACACAAAACAGATTATATTTCAATGGCTGTCTTCCAGTATCCTCTGACAAAGGGATGAAAATAGTTGATGGCATGCTGTCCTTTAGTACAGTACAAACTTCTAACAACATATCAAATATACAAGGGATATGGTTTGGAAATAAACGGTAGTAGTCACAGTAACATAGCCAAATTAGAGCAGCTTTTTAATCTGAGACATAAATGCTCCATTTATGGCAAATTATAGTTAAGATTAAATTTAAGAAAAATTGGTAGATAGTAGATATAATAGTAATGTTAGGAAGCAGTTGGATTTTTATGAAATATGTACCCTGTGCCTTCTTCAGCTTGCCAGTTCGACAAGTATGTTGAAAAAGGTATAATTGTAGCAGAATTGCCATAAATGAACCAAGCAGGAACCAAATTGTATGTAGCTACTGGCTGAATCAGAGTAAGTGACATATGGCATTATAGCTGTTGATCAAAAATGCTCATCATCCTTAGGAAGAATGAATGCTGGGAATTGTAATTTAATAGCTTCTTAGTGCTAAACATTGTTTATCCCTGGCTTGAGGATAAAGAAGCAAGCACAAACTCCAAAAAACCCTCAAAGATATTACTACTCAGTCACCAAAATTGTTCTGATGTCTTTACTTGCTTGGTTGCTTTTCAAAAAGAGAGAGGATGAAAACCTTATTCCAAATTTGAAGTTTCTAATACCTTCGACCACCAACTCATCATGAATGTCCGTCTTTGTCTGTTATGATTGTATCACTTCCTATTTTGGTTAAAATCAAAATGCTGATATTATCTTCATGCTTTCCAGTAGAGCTGGCTATTTCTAAAATAAAAGACGTCATAAGTACAAGGATTAACATTTTATAAATTATGTCTTGGTCCTCCAAATGTTTGCAATTAGTTTAATAGTTTATTTCTTTTTGTAGCAGACAACAGATGTGTCATATCAAATGCAGCAACATGTACTGCCTGTCTTGCAGTAGGTCCTGAATGTGGTTGGTGTGTTCAAGAGGTAAACAGTTTATTTGTATTAGTCAGCTATTATTATTATTATTATTATTACCTTTCCTTCTCCACCTATACAGTAGGATTTTGCAACACTTCAATTTTGATAGGACAAGGCTTGGGAAATTCCTGGGATTTCTCACATTTAGCAAATTCCAGTGATTTGAAAGCACATACACATACACAAAAATACACAAAACTGACTTGAATACTGACTTGAAGGCACATACACACGAAAGCCATAAGCTCAAACCTAACCTCTTTCCCATATTCTCTTTTTTTAACAGCATCACTCCGTTACAGTGATGGATCAAGCAAGCAAATTTAATAAGTAAATAAATAAAAATATCTTATCTGCTACTTCATCTAATAAAGTTCTTCATTAAAGTAAGGAGCTACCTTGAATCAGACAGAGGCCACTAAGATGAATTCTTATCCAAGGTTTTAGTTGCCTCAATATTCATGTAGAATAACATGAATAACATGTAGAAATAAGCTTATTTATGATCTCTTAATTAAAATTAGTCTGAAATAATAATGTTTTAGTGCTTTCTCCAAAAGAAAAGAGAGAAATAATTTTTATCTGTTTAATGACGAATTCTATAAAGTTCATCTTCTTTCCTATGGGCACATGAATGGGCTTCCAATTTGCCAGACTCAAGTAGCTCCAAATTATCCTTTATATCTTTTATCCTTTTCATCTATTATTACAGACATTAAAGATGAATACCAGCATTTTTACTTTGTCTTACGGTTATATATTTTACGTTTATTACTACTGATGCTGATTTCTTATAAAATATGTGCTTTATTCCCATCCTCATCAGTTTTGTTGCAATGTGCAACACTGTCTCACCTGTCTTCAAAAACAGTGGTATTATAAATGGTTTGGTTATGTTGACTTTATTGTTGGTTTGGGATAATAACTTTTTGCTTATATGATGTTATATTTTCTGAAAATGAAAGTTCTCCCAACTTCTTATAATTTTGTTATGTATTTTGCTTTCCCCTCCGTTCTAACAGGATTTCATGGCTGAAGCAAAACTGAAAGAAAGATGTGACATAGTTTTACATTTAATCCAAAGAGGCTGCAAGCCAGATTTCATAGAAAGTCCTAACATTGATGTAACAATGCCCAGCAATGAGGCTAATATTCAGGTTATACCAGGAGAAGCTTCAGTGCAGCTGCGTCCAGGTTTGGATATCAGAAATATTGTTTTAATTTAAAAACTACATTTTGTCTTTGGCACAATCTAAGAGACTGAAGATAAAGAACCTTAGATAAAAATTCTAATATGTTTTTCCATAATCAAAAATAGATTCTGAAGATTTGCTTGGTTTTGAGAAAACAAATGAAAGGATTCTAAATTATTCAAAAACTACAACTGCATAATCTTTTAGATACACTAATTCAGTTAGTTGTGTACTTGGACTAAAATTACCTACAATAATTGGTTCCAAAGATTTTTAATGTTCTTGCCGTCTTCTTAAATAGCTAATGAGCCTGGGTGCTGCTATTATCCACTGTTTTAATTTCTACTAACCGTTCATCAAAATTGGATAATTAAACTGAATCACTCTATATTTAGTTACTCATCCCTACATTCAAATTTTGTAAATGACACTTTGTTTACATTGCCTATATTTCTTAGGTAGATTTTATTTTCTTAAATTGAAGACAGGAATATTTTTCCAGGTGTGAAACCTGACTCTGACTCCAATAAGCATCTTCCCTTCCCATGCATGAATGCCTGTAAGCGCATACAGGCACATATACACAGAAAGACACATAAACCAACAGTAGAAATCTACCAGTAATCAACACTCAGATCAGCATTGATTAACTCCAAGGTTAACTTCAAACCAACAATCAAGTAAGCAATACCCCAATCAAGAAACTGCCACAGAGCCATTAGTAAACAGCCCAACCAAAGAATCTGTCCCCACCCCCATCCAGACAGACAAGACACCAGAATATAAACTGACAGCAGACAGCACCTCCTTACTAGCACCAGTGATGTTACCTAGTTAGGGTAATGCAAGAAAACAAGCAAGCTCAGAGAGCACCAAGAACCTCTCATTTCAACTCTGAGCTACAAATATTCTCCTTCAGTGAGATCTACCAGTAAGCATTATACTTCACTTCTGCTGCACAATGCCTGTCATTCATTCAGTGCTGGCTGCAAACTAGCCTTGATGTATTGCCAGGAGCAAAATATTCCAGCTGCTCTGCAAACTTGGAAAACCAGTCTCCCCCCCCCATCTTTCATCCCTCCTCATTGGTTGGAACCTACATTCCAATGCATTTCTTCTATGCCTTATTCACTGGGATCACTGACTGCTCATCATGTTCCCAATTTCCAATTTTGTTTCATACTCACTTGACAGCAAACTCCAAAAAGGATCTGCATTCTGCAGGTGGTGGGGAAAAATTGAAAGCAAAATAGGCTGAGTTTACAATGCTTTGGGAACAGCTTACAAATTTAATAGCTATGGCATAGCAAAGTTTCCTGTCATATATACATATTTAGATGTGATTTAATTTTTTTAAATAGATTCTTGTTTTCTCTTAAGCAACTAGATGCTTTATGTATGTCTTCTGAAAGACCACTTGATGGGATGTTCATTAGTTTGAGACTCTTGAGTAATATCTGCACTGTATGTGAATTAGGAAGGATTGTCAGAAAAGGCAATCAGTGATCAACCACTTGGATGAGGCTGTGGGAAGTAGAAAGTTGAATGAGAATCACAAAGGGTCAACCAATAAGGTTACATGTTCTAGTGCATGTTGCAGCTATAGATGCATATGAGAATATTTGAAGCACTTGGAGGCAATATAATTTCAGAATTGGATGTAGGCTTGTTTGCTGCAAATATCCTGCTCTCATTCAGATTAAGAATATGTAGATATAAGCTTGTTTTAATGCAAAATAGGTGCTAAGGTATGTTAATATAGACAAAAAAATAGAAATCATTGTCTATTCAAAATGCTCTTGTCTGGAAACTTAGGAATTTAATTTGATGATTACAGTTAAGGAAAACAAAAACTCCATTCTGACAAGCTAATTCAGTTTGTGGGAGTTATCTAGAAGTTTGGGAACTCTGGTTAACTTCATTTGTAAAAATGTAACCTGAACTTTAACATTCTGGTTTGTCCAATTCTGGTTCATACATCTAGCTCCAAAAAATCTAGATGTATGAACCAGATACATATAAAGGATTTTCTTTGAGCTACCATTTAACTACAGCAGAATTATCTTGCCAAACATATACCTCGTCCCTAATCCTTTTGTAAGTGAAGGGGAACTTCAGACTGTTATTCATCTGCCTACAGTTTCCCTACCCAAATATTATTGTTTTCAACATCAGCACAATTCATTATTGGTCTAGTGCATTGTACCAGGACTCCTCATTCTTCTTGGTAAATTAACTTGCTTACAATAATATTTTTAAGTTGATTCCAGCTGCATTGAAGGGCTAATTTCTAGTTTTCTCAGTCACTATGATCAAAGAAAGTATAATATATTCAATTTACTAGCTCCTTGAAAAAAATGTGTTTTCATAACTATAGTATTTCAGTGGGCATCACCTTGCAAGATTAGTGTAGAGTCATGTGGAATTGACCACAGTATAAATCTAATAAATACATAAATTAGCATTGTGTATTTCAATGGATGTATACAGAGCTCCTTTTCCATATCTGTACTGATTTTAGTGACAGCTTTCATTCCTCAGCATTAAAGACAGTTCTCATTCCAGCATTTGGGTAGCTCAGTTAATACAGCAACCTGGCATTATCATAACAAATATGTTGTTTGAATGTTGCAACCAATGTAGATTTTCTGGCTATTTCAACATATGTAGAATTAAGGAAAGTACCAGTACTTTTTTTGCAGTCATGGAGAAAGCATAGAAGAAACAAATGTAGATGAATATACGTGTACCAGGAAAATATTTCAGGATCTGTGTCAATCACCAGGACAAAAGATATTTATCTTCTGAGCTTTTGGACTAGTGCTGGAGCCCATCTTCAGGGAACTAGCTAGAGAGAAGTTCTGGCTAGATAGAAATTCAAAAATCTGTTGTCCTGGTGACCTACTCAGAATGGATCTTGAAGCAAATGTGGCTCAATTGACACTGATTGCAGGTACTTCTATTAATGGTGCATTCTTTTACAATCCTTTACTACTTCACACAAAATCACATACAGTATCCTAGAGTAGACAAACAGTCGGCTGTGCACATTCTCTAGGGCATGGAAATTTAAAAATGCATCAGTGTGCTCAATTAGCATGTGAAATTTCCACAAACTTAATACATCTACAGTACTATCAGTGAAAACTACCTAATTGTTTCCTATTGGGAAAACATTATAGTAGTCCTTGACTTATAACTATTCATTTAATGACTGTTCAAGTTTATGACCAGGTTTCACACTTGCAACTGTTGCAGCATCACCATAGTCACATGATCAGAATTTGAGCACTTGGCAACTGGCACATATTTATGACAGTTGTGCTGTCCCATGGTCATGTGATCACCATTTGTAATCAAGCAAGCAAAGTCAATGGGGGAAGCCAGATTCACTTAACAACTGTATGATTCACTTAACAACTGCAGTGATTAGCTTAACAATTGTGGCTTAAAATGAGGCACAACTCACTAAACAACTGCCTTGCTTAGCAACAGAAATTTTGAGCTCAGTTGCGGTCGTAAGTCGAGGACTACCTATTCACATTTGTGGTAGGAAAAGGTATGTTCAATAAAAGCCTAGGTAGTTATAGTGCTGTTAAAGGGCTAGGGAGCTTTGCTGCTGGTTCCATCCATAGCATCTTTCTTTTATTTCTACCTTAAGGAACTATAAGTACAGATAGAACATGAATATCTGCAAAGAGGAACCTAAACTAGATTAACTGTGATGGGTTGGATAAACTCAGTTGTACCAGATTTCTGTGCACGCACATAGACCTTCATGCACCTAAGCTGTTCTAAGGCAAAAATGCACATACTCATATGAAAATGGTATGTTGACGATGGCAAAGCTAATGCTATAGCTCTAAAATCTACCTTTAGATGACTTATAAGGAGGTTTAAGTTGATTTCAACCAATAAGAATGATCTTAGAAGTTTAGATAATTTCTCAGGGCAACTTGGCCAATCTTTTCATTATCCTATTCTATCCCCTTATAATAGATGCCTTGTGCCTGATAATAAAAGAATGTAGTATTCTGAGCCAGCTGACATTTCAGGAAAAAAATCTCCAGTTTGTTGAAAATCAGCTTTTAACATATTTCTAACATATTTCACATTTTATCCTCTTTCAAGGAAATTGGCATAAAATAGATGAGTTTATCTCAATGTCCCTGGCCTTGCAGCAGTCCTGTTAGAGATGGCAGGAGTTGCCTGAAGCCACATAGTTTGTCTGTTTATATAAACCCACATAATTTTCTTATTATCATTAGCAAAACACAGGAAATTACAGTTGTGGCAGAAGTAATATTTCACTGAAGTAGTATTATGAAGTAGATTATTACTAATTCTGCTACAAGAAATGAGTTTGCATAAATTCGGAAGGGAAGTGTTAAGGAGAAAAAGGTCGTTTTGAAATCACATATGCTTTTTATTACTTCCTATCAAAGGAGCAGGAACAAAAATAAGTGAGGATATACAGTATATTTTACATTTTTTAATTACCATAGAAGTACAGTGTTGTACTTTTTCCCCAGTTACGGAAACAAATGCTAGCCCTGATGTAAAATGGCATTCATCTCCCTCAGGTTTGTGCAGCGCTGCTGCTGCTTCAGCTCATTCCCCTCCCCTGCTACACTTGTCTAGGATGGTCGCGTACCACCTTCCAGGTGCCAAAGTACCACCTGTGGTACGTATACCACCGGTTGAAAAGCCCTGACTTAGAGAATCTTATAGAAGTAGTTGAATGTCCAAGGGAAGAAGCAATTCACCTATAAGAAAAATGGGTAAGTTTGGCTCTCTCTACCTGAATATCTAAATCCCATTCCCTCTGCTTAAATTCTGCCAAGGTTTTTTCTAGGCCTAAAGCAAATAGGGCCAATACTGATAAGGCACTGTATTCACTCAGGATTGAAAAGTTTTTGTAAATACAGGTATCGACTTATGACCACAGTTGAGCCCAAAATTTCTGTTGCAAGTGAGACATTAAGTGAATTTTGCCCGATTTTATGACATTTGGTTAAGTCAATCACTGCACTTGTTAAGTTAGTGACACCATTGTTAAGTGAATCTGGCTTCCCCATTGACTTTGCTTGTCAGAAGGTCGCAAAAGATGATCACATGATCCCGGGATACTGCAATGTCATAAATACAAGTCAGTTGCAGAGTCTAAATTTTGATCACATGACCAGGGATGCTGCAGCAGTCATAAGTGTGAAAAATGGTCATGTCACATTTTTCAGTGCCATTGTAACTTTGAACGGTCACTAAATGAACTGTTGAAAGTCAAGGACTACCTGTACACATCTGAGATCAAAAGTATTGCTATACTTAATGATACACGTTGTATAATTATTCAGCCAAACTGCCTCTTTGTCACTAAAAGTATTATGGATAATGGGAAAAGCATAGAAAATGGAATGGCTTGAGAAGAGGTGTGTCTGTGTGTCTGTGTAAGTAACACACAGCCATATATTTAATGCTTAGTTACAGTTTTAAAAGCTAAACTAAATTAAGCTAGTAAAACTGGAAAAATATTCTGCATAGGATATGATTTTAAAATAATGTGAATATTCAGAAGTATTGATAGTAGTTCTTTTTGCATTATTAGGCTCTGAAACAAGTTTTATGCTGAAAGTCCGCCCACTGGAAAAGTATCCTGTTGATCTTTATTATTTGGTTGACGTATCTGCATCTATGCATAGACATATAGAACGATTAAACTCTGTTGGATTTGAATTATCTCAGAAGATGGAAAATATCTCCATTGATTTGCAACTTGGATTTGGATCCTATGTAGATAAAACAGTGTCACCCTATATTAGTATTCATCCCAAAAGAATCCATAATCAGTGCAGGTAAGTATTGTTAAAAATAGATATATGTAACTCAAGGGAACATTCATGGGATCACATTTATACATTTAATGTCTAATTCTCTTTTGGAAAAGTAGAGTAATGAATGAATTTGCATTTGCTTTATCTGCCACAAGGCTTCGGTAAATATGAATAACAATAATAATAATAATAATAGTAAAGTTGAAAGAGACCTTGGAGGTCTTCTAGTCCAATCCCCTGCTCTGGCAGGAAACCCTATACCATTTCAGACAAATGGTTGTCCAGTCTCATCTTAAAAACTTCCATTCACAACTTCTGGAGGCTGGTTGTTCCACTGATTAATTGTTTTAACTGTCAGGAAATTTCTTCTTAGTTCTAGGTTGCTTCTCTCTTTGATTAGTTTCCATCATTTGCTTCTTGTTCTGCCTTCAGATGCTTTAGAGAATAGCTTGACTCCCTCTTCTTTGTGACAACCCCTGAGATATTGAGGCCATGGCGCGGGGCAAGGATGGGCGGCACGGTGCCGCGGGAGGCGACGGAGCAAGGGGGGTGTCTTTTTCTTCATTGAATACCCAATTCCAGCAACCGTTCTTTATACAGTATGTTTTAGCCTCCAGTCCCCTAATCATCTTTGTTGTTCTTCTCTGTACTCTTTCTAGAGTCTCAACATCTTTTTTACATTGTGGTGACCAAAACTGGATGCAGTATTCCAAGTGTGGCCTTACCAAGGCATTGTAAAGTGGTATCAAGACATGATCTTGATTCTATCTCTCTGTTAATGCAGCCTAGTACTGCGTTGGCTTTTCTGACAGCTACAGCACACTGCTGGCTCATATTTAAGTGATTGTCCACTAGGACTCCGAGATCCCTCTCACAGTTACTACTATTGAGCAAGGTACCACCTATACTATACCTGTGCATTTGGTTTTTCTTGCCTAAATGTAGAACCTTATTTTTTTCACCATTGAATTTCATTTTGTTAGATAGTGCCCAATATTCAAGTCTGTCAAGATCCTTCTGAATCTATCTTCTGGAGTGTTGGCTATTCCTGCCAGCTTAGTGTTGTCTGCAAATTTGATAAGTTCCCCATCTATCCCTCAGCCAAATCATTGATGAAGATGTTGAAGAGCACTGGGCCCATCACAGATCCCTGGGACACCCTGCTACACACTTTCCCTCCACGTAGATGCAGTTTCACTGAGGACCATATGCTGAGTCAACCAGCTACGAATCCATCGGATGGTGATGCTATCTAACCCATATTTTTCTATCTTAAAAAGTAATAGCTTGTGGTCTACTTTATCAAATGCCTTACTAAAGTCCAAGTAAATTATATCCACATCATTCCTCTGGTCCTCTAATTTTGTCACCTGTCAAGGAATGCAATAAGATTTGTCTGGCATGATCTGTTTTTGACAAACCCATGTTGACTTTTGGTAATGACTTTGTTTGCCTCTAGGTATTTGCTGATTCGTTGATTGATTATCTTTTTCAGAATCTTCCCAGGTATTGAGGTCAGGCTGATAAGTTTGTAGTTTCCTGGATCCATTTTTTTCCTTTTTTTGAAGATGGGAAATACATCAGCTCTTTTCCAGTCTTCTAGTAATTCCCTGGTGCTCCAGGATCTTTGAAAGATACAGTTCAGTGGTTCTGAGATTACATCTGCCAGTTCCTTCCGAACCTTGGTATATAAGTCATCTGGTCCTGGTGATTTGAACTCATCTAGGGTGGACAGATGGTCACTTATGATTTTCTTGTCTATCTTAACTTGTGTTTCTAATCTGTTTTTTACCGTACTGCTTTTGATAGGTTGGATTGTTTTTTCCTTTTGTGTAAAGACGAATTCAAAAAACAAGTTAAGTAGTTCTGCTTTCTCCCTGTTGCTTGTCACCTTCTTGCCACTTTCTCCCACTAATGGACCAATCATTTCCTTAACCTTTTTCTTGTTTTTTACATGTTGAAAGAAGCTTTTTTTGTTATTTTTGACTTTTGTTGCAAATGTTATTTCATTTTGAGCCCTAGCTTTCCTCACTTCATCTTTGCAGGCTCAGGCTATTTGCTGATATTCTGCCTTAGTTATATGCCTCTATTTCCACTTTTTATAATTGTCCTTTTTGTCTTTCAATTTATCAGAGAGTTCTTTATGCAGCCATGCTGGTTTCTTTTGAGAGCTGTTATTTTTCTTCTTCGTTGGTATTTCTTTGCTGATATATGTGTGGGAGGTTAGGAGGAGAATGGAGAATGGCAGAATAGAAATGATGTTCACTTTTACTTATGCTAAGAAGGATAGTTGTATTTTTTAAAACAGTTTATTAATCATTTTTAAAGAAAAAATAAATATTTGCATTATTTTCTCTCTGTAAGTAGCATATTTCCAATTTATATAATTCACTTCTGAGGCAGAAAGTTACAGGTGGATTTTTGAGGCCAGCTTACTCCTCCATAAAAGTCACAATTTTCTGTGGCTATATACTGTATGACTTCAGTGATAAGAAAAATAGAGATATTTTTAAAATTGTCCACTTCTTTGATATTGTAAATTTTGCTACCATGTGCAAATAATTGACACTTACACTCTTACCTATCTTTAGGATGTACATGTCCCAAAAAGTAGTTAAAAGTATTTTTTTCTGAACTATGCTGATACAATCAAGTCATAGTAAGAAACTTGAATTAACAGAAGATTAATAATAAGCTGTGGAGGGCAAAGATAATTCCTATCTCAGTCTATGAAGCCTAGAAATTATTAGTATAATGTTATAAATCTCTGCTGTGCTACATTTCCAAATATAACTAGTTTAAAAATTCTTTGTGGGAGTTACAAAGTAGTATTCTTTGTTTCCAAACAGTGATTATGAGCTTGATTGTATGCCACCTCATGGTTTTATTCATGTTTTATCACTGACTGACAAAATATCAGAATTCAGAAGTGTAATTAATAAGCAGAAAATCTCTGGAAATATTGATACACCAGAAGGAGGCTTTGATGCTATGCTTCAGGCAGTGGTTTGTCAAGTAAGCAATAACAGATAATTTGACGTTTTATTTTTCTCTTTGGGGGATGATTTGATCTTGTAATGTTGCAATGTTATATGTAAATGATAATTCTTTGTGAAACCATGTTACTTTCTACTATAGGTTTACACTCTTTAATGAATTTATTACCACTTTTGCCTTCTATAGCCATCAAAATACTTTGGGGATATATTTACAGTGAAAGTTTGGATAAAAAGAAATTGTCCTTCAAATAAAGGATTTGATACAACCAGCAGTATTTTAGATTCTTGATTTAAACCCTTTTCAATAGAACTGGATCACCATAGTGGATCAACCATGTGACTTTGTCCCTTCAGCTGCTGGATAGTCTGATATTTTTGTTTAATTATAGCCCATTTCATTTTGCCAGCCATTTTTGTGAATTGGAATATACAGATGCCTTTTTAAAAAAGCAGTACAATATTTCCTAGCACCTGTACTTTCCCTTACAAAGCTTAACATTTATTTATTTATTGCAGAACCATATTGGTTGGCGCAAAGAAGCAAAGCGTCTACTTCTGATGATGACTGATCAGACATCTCATTTGGCTCTTGACAGTAAATTAGCAGGGATAGTCATTCCAAATGATGGAAAATGCCATTTGAAAGAGAACGTGTATATCAAAGCAAACAGTATGGTAAGGTGTATGTCATATTTTGGGGATAATTCCTAACGCATTAGAAATGCCTTTGTGGGAATCATGTTCTGAGAGATATGAACTTCTGCTCAAACTATCTCATTCAAATTATTTCATGGTTTTGATGAATCAGAGAGAATACATAATACATTTGTTCTTGGCTAGAGTACCCTTTATCTCTATAGACCTTGGCTGAGGTAATGATTGATGACTAATAGAAGAGAATATTGCTGAAACTGTTGGCATGAATGTTCCTGCCAGTAAGGGTACTTATATTCAAATGCATTAATTATTGGAGATCTTCAGTACTAGGGACATTAAAAATTGAAAACTGGTTTTATGCAGTTGTTGAAGAAAGCATTCTCTTTCCCCCCTCAAATATATCCCTTTGCAATAAAAAGTGAAGTGGTTAAGCTTGGACATGCATGCAGAGAGATCTAGAAGTAATTTCTAAAGTTGTAAAGCAACAAGAGTTGCTTTAAAGATGCAAACAGAGATTATTTACGTGTCTTCCTGCATAATACAAAGTAGCTCTCTTAAAGCATTTGCATAGTTTTACCAGGTTGTTCCTTTTCAGATTTGCAGAATACCCAATTGTTCTGGAAAACGTAAACCCACTTGATCTCCTCTTTCAGGTTTTTATTGTTTTCAGGATTATTTTACTTTGGAGTTAAAATATGATTGCACACTTGTTGATTAGATTGATTAATTGATCTCTCATTAGGTTCTGCATTGTACTCTTTGCTTTGTCTTTAGAGTCAAGAAACTTTAACAATTTTAACTATATCCAGAAAGGAAGAAATTTGCCATAGTAAAGAATTTTTTGTGAACCCATTCCTACTAATCATGTTTCTTTTGTATAATACATATGCTGCTATGTTAAAAGTTTCCGTTCATTCAGAAAAAGAGTGGTCAGAATTTTTTATTTAAAAGTATTTCATTGTTTTTGAAACATCCACGTGTTTCAAAACTTAAATATCCTAAAAACATAGAAATTGAAAAACTACTAGGAAGGTCTATTTATTGAACAAATAGCATAAATCTGTAACCATTTTCTGCCTTGCCAGCTTTGGCCCTTGTACTTGGGATGATAAATAATACTTTTGTAACTCAACTATGCTACTAAGCAGGAAAAAAAGGTTATCCTGTTAAACATTAGGTTAAGTTGCATTGTGGGCTATTATATGAAATTGATGATTTGTACAAAATTATCTTACTAGGAAACTTTTTAGCCTTTCCATTACTTGCTAATGGTTGTGGTGATGGTGGAATTTCAATAACTCTTCAGTAAATGATTGAATTTCAGTATGTATTTATAGATGGCTAGTAAATTGTATGAAGGGTCTTGGTCCTAAATTAAATGTGTGAACGTAGTTTCTTATTTTTTAAAAGGAATTGGAATTATTAAAGAATTATTTATATTCATATGTATATGTACATATGTTAGTTTCTTTAAGTAAAATGTTAGGATTGGTAATTATAATAATCTGTAAAAGCCACATTATGAGTCCTCTTTCTGATCTGTAGGAGTACCCATCGCTTGGCCAACTTTCTGAAAAGCTCATAGACAACAATATTAATGTAATATTTGCAGTTCGAGGAAGCCAATATCACTGGTATAAGGTATATTTAAAGATAAAACAATTGTTACTTGGGGATAAGAAATACACTGGCATTATAACCATAAACTAATATTTTTACAGGATCTTTTGCCTCTGCTACCAGGAACTATTGCAAAACAGATAGAATCAGAGACAGCAAATCTTGGGGATTTAGTAGTTGAAGCTTACAAGGTATGTTCCAATAACACTAATACATCATTATAATATGGTGTTTATATATTCTTTATTTTTCAAAATGCTTATTAAAGTTAATATTTTGTAGATTTTAGACATATGTTACAGGAATATGTTCAATACGTACATGTATCTCTATAAAATATAAAAATAAAATTCCCTTCATAAATTAATGTGGTTGCAGTTTTTGCTTTAATCAATTGCTTTTTGTGATAACAATTGTGCAATAAACTAAATAAGAGATATTAAGGGTTCTACTATTTTCATATCAACGAGGATCTTTTTTATACTGTGAAACAGCCATTGGACTATTTTGAGAAATAAATTAAAAATCCTACAGATATTTTGGAACTCAACTCAACTCCCTGTAACCTCAGATATCTTGGTTTATAGCAGGATTTTGGAAGGTATGTTCCAAAAAATCTGGAAGGCAGACTAGCTACCTCAGTACTATTAAAGAAAAAGTCTGAAACTTCTGCAGGTTTCTTTTTACACACTTCTTTCTGTTTCCTCATGCTAATTTTCAGTTAGGTTGTACTACTCACATTGCTAGTATATATATGTATATGACATTTTTATCATAGATAATTCTTAGCATATCTATGATTTTGCTGTGATTTGTATAATTCAGTATTTTGTTCTTTAGCACTGACTATTGCACAATGCAGGTATACTGTATGCATTTGTCTGTGATAATTTTTATTATTATATAGTACACAAACACATTTTGCTTATAATGCCATGAATTCCTATTGTAACATTTATATATATTATTTATATTCTTAAAAGGAAATAAAACTACTTAAATCCACTGAACATATAGCATATATATGATATGTTCAATTATTGCACAGCATTGTAAGCAAATTGAAAAATATATCATTTGGTTAATGTGCTGCTTTAGAAAAAATTAGGAATGTACTTCATGCTTTATGACTCAATCCAGCATATTTAGAAGAGTAATTTGTAACAACCCATACTGTTTAATATTATATATTTTACTTAATGGAGGATGATCAGCGAGGAAAACTACCATATGTTCCATGCCTCATCGCCTTTTTACATTGCTGCTGCCATCTTGCTTTTCAAATGACACACACACTTCTGCAAGTGTTTTTGTTTCTATGTTTTTTGGGTGGTATTGGTGGAAAGGGTTGGGCATCAGTCAAGTGAGAAACTCTAATAATCTTTAGCTAATAGTAGACAGATAAGTTGCTCTTTAATACCTAAGCACTTATTTTCAAATAATGTCCAGTTAAGAAACTAATATGAGAAATTGCCCTGTGGCATCAGAATGAAAAGGAAGGTCATCATAAGCATTGAATCATGCAGCTGTGAAAACAAAAATCTGTGCAGAAAACAATTTTCTCCTTTGTTCCTGGATTGATAGGTTATTTCACTCTGATTGAATTGAGTAAAGCTTGCTAATAGTAGTATATGTTGCTGCACAAAGTAATAACATTATTTTTATTTTGATCTTATTTTGTTTCAGAAGCTGCTTTCTGAAGTGAAAATTCAGGTTGATAACACCCTCAAAGATATACATGTCAAAGTTACTGCAATCTGTCCTGATGGAAGTAGAAAAATGGGTTCAGAGGGATGCAAGAATGTGAAATTCTCAACTGAAGTATGAACATTTCTTTTTAACAAGGGAGATGAAATATTTTGTTCATGACATTGTGATATTTTTCAATAGAAGAAGGCTTTCTGTGGATTTAAAGCTGCATTTCAGAGGATTAAAGTTTTTACATTCTCCATGTTTCTGCCATGGATTAATTTTTTTGGAGCTTCATTTTAAATTAATTTTAAATCAAAATATTTATTCTTAGACTTTCCAATAAGCTCAAATCAAGTTAAATTTATTTTCTAGGATTCCTCTATGCTCTTATCAAGTTGTTGTAAATGCTCATATATTTTTCCAAAAGTCTTACTGACTTGAAGTCATTTATTTATAAGTGGGAATGGCAAATGTCAAGAGTCCCTCGGTAGAAAAATAGAAGTACAATATCATCCATCTAAAATGCTGATTTCCCATCTCTACAATAGTTCAATTGCCCAGGACAGAAATCCATGATTGGTTCCAAGCCAGCACAAAATCCTAACATGCATCTTCCCTAAATATCCATTAAACATTTTTATTATGTAGTAATTTGAATACTTTATATTTTTAATCTCAGGTATTCTTTAATATTTCTATTGCCATGAAAGAATGTGGTACAACTGGCAGAAGAAACCACGTGATGATAAAACCCCTTGGTTTCAATGAATCCTCTAGAATTAACATCCACAAAAGATGTGTCTGTCAGTGTGAGGATAGTGCAAAACACAAAAAAATCTGCATCACTGAAACCCCTCATGATGATGAAGTATCCACCTGCAAGGATGGAGTCTGTGGTTCCAGTGAAAAATTATCTTCAGAGCAATGTAAGATGCAACAGGACCATCTTCTTTGCAGCGGACAGGGAGAATGTGTACATGGGAAATGCATTTGCTATAAAAACAAATATGGTACAATATATGGCAAATACTGTGAAAAAGATGACTTTTCCTGCCCATATTATCTTGGACACCTATGTGCTGGTAAGGTTGGAATTTTATAATGTTTTTTTTCATATTTTAGTCCTTCTAATATAATTTATAATAATTCATCTTAATGCTAAGTCCCAGGCTAAGAAACAAATTCTCTGTTTTCCTCACATGCAGACCCACTTCCCACAGTTGCATTCTTGAAATACAGAATTGTATAAGCAAAAATAGATCTAGTATGGTAACAATGTTCTATTTTTTTCTCCAAAACACTCCAATCTAGACACTGCAAAATTGGTTTGCCATTTTTTGGAAGTAATTCTCCCAGTTCTGAAAGTGTGTTTTCCCCAAAATAAGACCAGGTCTTATTTATTTATTTATTTTTGCTTCCTAAAGAGGCACCAGGTCTTATTTTTGGGGGGTGTCTTTTATAGTCACCTCCGGCACCGACAGCCCCGCTCAGCCAGTCCACTTCTTCTCACCAAAAGAGCAGCTTCATTTTCCAGCTGCATTCCGGCCTGCATTTTGCAGTCAGGCCTTTCTGGAAGGCCACTGCAGCCAACTACCGAACTATGGATTCAATCCATAATGGAAAGGCCTGTGACTAAGAAATGCAGGCCTCGCTACAGAAGATGCCGCAGAAGAAGTGGGCCGGCGAGGAGAGGCCTGGCTGTTAGGTAAGTGGGTACGGGGCGCGTGGGGCAGCTGCATCCCCACCCTAGATTGATTTTTAGGTGTGTGCTTTGCCCCCAAACTAGGGCTTATTTTGGGGGTAGGACTTATATTAGGCCCACCCCAAAAAATCAAGCTAGGCTTGTTTTCAGGGTAGGCCTTAATTTCAGGGAAACACGGTACCTATTTTGTTGTGTTGGAGAAAGCAATTGGAAGTCAATGAATGGAGCTAAGAATTTTGGTGTTGGGTTAGGGTTAGTACTACTTACAATTCACACAAGTGTATTGTACAAGTATAAAATCACAGCTGAATCAAAGGCATTTTTATATTTTAAGTATTTTCCTCTTGAAAATACCCCCTGTGGTTTCATAATGAAATAGGATAACATTTGTTCTAAAGAGTCTGCCTAAAAATGTAATTTTTTTGATTAATATGAAAGAATCTAAAGCAGGGGTTCTCAACCTGTGGGTCAGGACCCCATTTGGGGTCGATCGACCATTTCATGGGGGTCGCCAAGCAAGGCCGTCTGCCATTTTTTTTGTCCGCCATTTTTTTGTCCGCCATTTTTTTCCCCCTTTTCCGGCGGGTGCCTTACCTCCCTTGGGCTGAGCCAGCTGGTGGTCGGCCTGCTCCGTCTCTGCCGCTTGCCAGCTACGCCTCGGCTGGCGCAGGGGGCGGAACCACGCATGCGTGGCGCTCCCGGGCAGGGAAAGTCCTCGATTTACGACCGGTTGGGCAGTCCTCGACTTACGACCGGTTTAGTCCTCGACTTACGACCGGTTTAGTCCTCGACTTACGACCGGTTTAGTCCTCGACTTACGACCGGTTGGGGTCGCAGCATTAAAAAGGTTGAGAACCACTGATCTAAAGGGACTTCTAGCAAATAATATAATCAAGTCTTTACCCCTTTTTTTGCTCTGCTTTTGTAGGCAATGGAGAATGTGAAGCTGGCAAATGCAAATGCTTTATGGGCTGGGAAGGTGATCGCTGTCAGTGCGCCTCATCCTTGCAAAAACACTGCATGAACTCCAATGGCTTAATCTGCAGCGGAAGAGGAACTTGTGTGTGTGGGAAATGCAAGTGTGCTGACCCAAACAGTTTAGGTCGTTTGTGTGAATTCTGTCCTTCTTGTAAAAAAGTTTGCAATGACATGCAGTAAGTCTGTGTTTTTGGAAATATTTGTCATTTTTTAAAAATATTCCAAATCCAATATATGAAATATTCCTAAACCTTTTGCTTCACAAAGTAGTTTGATTCCACTTTTTAATTTTTTCTTGGTGTTTCAGGGAGAGAAAACACACTAATTGTGACATAGTTTTTTGGCTTTTAGGAGAGTAGATGAATTGCAATGAGTAGGAAGAGGAAAGGGAGAATTGTCTAGAGTTGCCATTTTCATTCATTATTACTTAAAAAAATGTAACATTTGCTTATCTCATATAGTGATCCTAGGTGGCTCAAAACAATAAGAATAAAAGTAGAATAATAAAAATCCTAACCCTTCCCACAAGACAGACCAACCAAATTATTAACCTCCTTAGTTGATTCCCATCATGGCTCAGTGTTTGGGTGAAGAGCTAAGTCTTAATGGCCTTCTAGAAAGCCAGACGAGTGAGGGTCCCTCAAATCAGGTTTGAGGCTATTTCAGAGGGCTGGGAGAGCTAGAGAGAAGTTGTATGCCTCCACAATCCCACCAGATGACAACCTTTAAGGGAAATGATTCGGAATGCTTTAAAAAATAAATACTTTGTTTTGCAGTCAGAACACTTTAAAAAGATCGTTCTGAGATCAGACCATCTTATTCCAAACTTCTTTTCAAAGACATGAAAGTTCAAAATTCTATCTCATCAGAAAATTTCCCAGATTCCTTATAGAACTGGGAAGATGTATAAATGCTATGAGATATGATATGATATGATATGATACGATACGATACAATATATGGTATGGCATAACATAACTTAATATAACTTAATAAAATATAATATTTGTGCCGTCTGTTTCAAGTTCAAAATAATTTGTACAACTCATCAAAGAGTCCATTTAAATGAGATTGTATTTAAAAGGGCTGAGAGAAAATGGTGATTATTGTATAAAGTGAACTTTAAAATATATTATTGCAGCATAGATTCCACCTTTCCACCCAAGGATCATTGCCAAGCAGAGCTTCCAAAAAAGACAAGATAAATTATAATATTTCTTGTGAAACCTTTTCTATTCATAGCTAGCTGAAATCCTGATGATTGCGTATTTGATTTCAGTCCATTTCCTTGAATAAACAGGAAATAATCATTATTATTCTAATTTGTACTGAAAGCATGAATCAGTGCGCAGACTTACATCCAAGACTAATATTTTTTATTGCTATGAAGTCCATAGAGAAAAATAAAATTAAAGACCTGGTCTGCTTAATTTTGTCTTTCAGCAATTGTGAATACTGCCAACAATTCAACTCTTCACACAATACACTTGATCAATGCAAAATCTCTTGCAATTATAGGATACATTATCTTGAAAAATCAGGTAGGTATAAAAATACCAACTTAATTTGTATATGAGCCTTCTTCGACCTGATTATTAAATTAGAGTTTTCATAACCCTCACTTGGTGTGAGTTTTAAGAAAGAGTTGTTAATGAAACATTTCTTCATCCTCAGATATGAATTTGTCTGATGTGTAATTCCTTTTAATAGAACTCATAGTTAAAAATAGATACTGGCTGTAGATTAATGGCTGTAGATTAATTTCCAACTGTAATCAAATTATATATTTTAGTGTAACTTTTTCTTCTTCTGCCCTTTCTTTCACCAGCATGTTGCTAAATGCTTAGAATTTTCTTTCTCACATATGAATCACATTCAGTTTTCAATTTGATTAAGAAAACTCAGAGGAATGTTTATAAATATATATATGTAATAATGCTTTAATTGTTCTAAGACCAGTATCTTTGTTCCTGTGGAAAGCAATACCTATATAACAGTAAATGTAATTGAAATATTGAGAAAATGTTGATTATTAAACAGTCTGAGACCTTTGAGAGTTAATTTTCTTACTGGCAAAACTGGCCAGAATAATTCAGGAAAAAATGGTTCTCTCAGATTATCACTATATGTTGTCATTTCTGCATATAAGGCTGTCCATTGAAATAAAACATGCAGCTATTTTAAACTTTAAGAAAAACTAATCTTGCTCCTTCTAGGAATTTTTCCACGGTAACTGGCCCAAAATCAGTAAACATGAGACTATACTTGGTACTTTGGGCCAGTCACTCTCTTTTGGTCTTAGGAAGAAGGCAATAGCAAACTGCTCCTAAAAATCTTCCAATAAACCTACTGGTTCTAACCCAGGGAATCACCAGGAGTCACCAATAATTTGAAAGCACAAATACAATTGCCAAGATAATTGATGCACTTAGCTGACCTTAATAAATCTCAGAATGGTAAATCAAATCTCCATAGTATATAGAAGGGAATTTTGAAGAAACACATTGAAAGGCATACTGCCAGACCATTTCCTTATTCTTCCCCAGAAATTTCCTTTGACATCATCACATCGATCATGTCTGTCAAGTTGACTTGAATAAAATGCTATCTTACATATCAAAAACAACTCAGTTACTTGCAACAGGAGAGTAATAGCAGACATGGGTAACCCTCAAGAATTTCCATTCTAAAAAACACTTAGAAAATAATTGGGAGAAAGAGAGGGTGCAGGTATAATGGAATGTAGCCCTCCAGTTGAAGGCTTAGTTGACTGATTGGCTTATGAAATATTTCCTATTTTAAGATCTACAGGAGCAGCTCTTTTGACTTTCAACATTTAGAGACAATCTTTTGTGTGTATCCTTCTGCAAAGATCACAAGCTATTATATGTGCTCCTTAAGATGTGCATTAAGTATACTCTTTCTTTGACCAAATCAGTAATTTTGTTGTTTTTTTATTTTATATAATTTTTGTGTGACCTTAAGTAGTAAGTAGTAACTATCTTTCAGCAGAAAGACAAGGTGTATTTCAGACAATAAATATTTAATTATTAATTTATTCATATTTATTATTAAAGGGTTCTTCTTAACATGAATAAACTTTGTCAATATAAACTGATTAATTAAGTGGTTGACTTAGTAAGGTGTTTCTTTTGCAGTCTAAATATGTTTCTGAGTTTTCTCACAATATTGTAAATGTGATGGTGAGTTTTTTTGTTATTTTTTTCTGTTTCATTGCAGAATGCCTTTCTGATGATCCAAGTTATTTCAGAATATTTTTCATTATATTTATAATAACATTTTTGATTGGTTTGCTTAAAGTGTGCATAATCCGTCAGATAATTGTATATTGTGATCACAGTAGAATCAAGACTTCTGCAGGTTACAGAGTGCCTGCAACCAAAAAGGTAACTGATGATTGTTTTCTTGAACATAATTATAATGCTAGTTGTGCCAGCCTTCTGACCAACTATATTTTCTCCTTCAAGGATAAGACCTTCTTGCCTACTGTTTGTGCAAAAACAGTAACTTATCGGCGTGATAAGCCTGAAGAAATAAACATTGGCAGGAGACAAGTAAATGAAGCATTCAAATGCAGCTCTTGAAGACAGGAACCTGTTTCTTCATATCTTTTGTTTTCTTGGTTGAGAATGTTTTTTTTAAATATATTGTTTAATGCTATGGGGATTTACAATTTTGAACACTGTAATTTAAAAAAAACTGACTTGGAGTCCTAGTTGCACACTGCCTGGGTTTCAGAAAGAGCTGCTTGTTCAAAACAAAAACAAATGTGCATTAACTACTGTTTAATCTGATTAAATTACTGGTTGCAGCTAAAATGTATTTCGATTAGCAGCCAGTTGAATTCCACTTGGCAGTGATAAGGTAACATTGGCTTACATGGAAATGTTCTGGAACTTGGATTTTATATCGGTTTGCAAGGCCATTTGGTATTGTAGCACTTTAACATAATATAACTTATTTAGTTGCGTTATAGAATATTAATTAAAACATTTGTGGTAAAAATGCACTGTTCTCACTTTAGAAGTAGATAACATGGATGAGGATTATAATCACAAACTCCCAAATCTCATTCTAGAAAACTGTAACTGACAGAAATCAGTAAATCAGCTGTCCATGGATCTTCCTATTCTGAGCACTTGGGACAGAGTGGAAGTAGGGAGAAAATATGCATTTTAAAAACTCTGTTAGAAGGGTACAGTTACTCCTTATTCTTCCAGCCTCAGTGGGATAGCAAGCCCAGGATTTTCTAATTGCACTAGTTTGGAAGAAAGTGAAAAAGTATGCTTTCATCCAGGTTGCTCAAAATATATGGAAGCCATTGTCCCAAACATATGTATGTAATTGTCATGGAACATATTTCAATGTCAATATTGCTTGCAAATGTTCAGAAGCTTTTGGAGGAGAATATATTAGAAAGCAAAACCCACTTCTTTAAGAGTATGGTCAAAGAAGTAAAGATGGTGGCCTTGATGGTACAATAGAAGCTTTGCCTGATTTTTTTCCTGCATCAAGCAACACTGCAGCCATCATCTTTATATATATTTTTCTTTATACTATAGTCTGCAAACACCCTGTTTTCAAATGAAGCACAATTCCTATGAATCAGGAAATGGATCACTACATAATCTGTATTTACTTTCTTATTTGCATTTAGTTTGCTTCAAAAATTGGATAGATATTTTTTCGGTAAAAGATAGGAGTAAATATAATGAACTTTTAAAATTAAAATGTTATAGTCAAATACAGTGAATTCTTCATTACCAATTATTATTCTTCATTAATCAAAAAATTGGTAATGCATTCAGTTTCTATTGCTTTTGTTCAAAAAAAGCTGAGGTGGCAAATTTGCCAGATCAGAATGATCTAGATCACGACTCTGATGATATGATCCAAATTAAAGCTACTCAACTAAAATAAAAATTAATATATTTAAGCCCCAGTTTAACTGAAAGTAAGTCCAATTGAATTTAGTAGACGGGCTTACTTTTGGCATAAGCATACATATATGATAATATTTAAGACCTGATCATGTATGAACTTCACATCCTAATACTATATGGTTGGAATTTCTATTGGTATTCTATTGGTATATTATACTGGTAGCAATTCCCAGGCCAATTTGAATATCTGAAAATGTGCACATATCCCATGGATTGTTTTTATTTTTTATTTTTAACAGAACTAGGAAATTGGACATATGCTCTATTAAGGCTTAAACTGCACAACTGCAGAACAATTTCTATTACTGTAAAAAGATATATCTGTAGTTTTATTCATATTGCCCTCAGGCCTCTATTTTGCACACTCATAAAAGGTACTAAGTGTTAAAATATTTTGTCTAGTACAATATCTAGAATTTCTGATCAGCCTTTTCTACAATTTCCTATACAGATACAATTAAAATAGACCTAACTGAAAATATATATTTTGTAGTGTTTCCTGATGCTTTTGTATAGTGTATACTGTTCTATTTTCCTTTTTTAAGCAAAAAAGGGTGAATCAGTGATGTTTTGTGGATTTAGATTTTACTATGTAGATTCTTTCTAGGAAAGAAATATGCAGAGAATAATATCTTATCAAAGTATTAATTTTAAAAAGTTGAATTCCTATTCTGTTTTATTAAATATTTTGTAGTGTCTGTAACTAACTCTTGTTTCCATTTATTTATTGATTTGTCACTTTAGTATATTGTGAGAAAGTCTATTTTTCTATGAGAGCTATAATAGTTGACATTAAATTAATACTAGATTATGCAGTCTCAATTATTGTCTCTAATCAGTGTTTGAAGTTTGTTATTTTTATTTAACAATAAAATTTTAATTCAATAAAATATCAGTGCCATGTTTGCAATCCTACATGTTCTAATATCAACCCTAGTTTGACAGAAATAAAATCTGTAACATTTTGATTTTTATGGACAAAAACAGAATCCAGAAGGATCACCAAAAATGGGCAACACTTGATCCTCCCAATCTTCTCAATAATGTCTCCTGCCATCAGCATTTTTATTCAGGGCTTTTTCCACTCTCTATGCCACTACTGTCCTAAATATCTGGATTTTGATCCATTATCAGAACAGAAACATCTCTTTCTGTTCTCCACATGGATGAAAACATGTGACTAGCCCAAACAACCTGCTGGCTACATGGGCGTTTTGCATATTAAATATTTTGCAGATCTTGGTATGCTTCTTAGAAAAATATTCAATGTGATAACATGTTTGTTTTTTTATTTTTGAACTATTATTTTAAAATCCTAGCCACCGACAAACTCAGTGTTGCCCTTTGGTTTGTTATACATCTCTTGAATTCTGCTTGTAATGAGAGCTAAAGAATTAAGCCGAATTAAGGCGCTTAAGCAAGCACAAGGCTTTCTTGTGTACAGTTACATAATTTTGAAGGATCCCTTTCAAGCCTTCTTGCTTGACAGGAACCCATAAAATTAGATCACAGTTTTGAGACCAGTTGAGAATCTTTTAGATACATCTACCTTCAGATAATACATATGTATTTTCTGGATTAAACATTGTAGTTTATATCAGTATTTTTGGTATTTCTGTTAATGGCTATATTTTAACAGAAAACATGTTAGAGGGGCTGCAGTTTAAAACAGCTGATAATATATAGAAATATAAAGCAAGATATTGGTAACATTGAATTCTTAATAGGAGGACCAAGGAATGCATTTTGTACAAAAGATGTATCTGTATTTATATGCCTTCTAATATAAGATGAGTTGTTTAATCCTTTGATCAAAGAATTACACAACCTCATTCCCACCTATTCTCCTATTGATTACAAAACAAAGAATACTATTTATAAGTATTATTAAATATGGTTTTCAACTGAACTGAAATTGTTAATCTGTTGACATACATTTAACTGTGTGTATTGGTGGCTGGATCTATTTTACTGAATGTGGGGTGTATTTGACCACATTTTTTCAAACTTTTTTTTTAAATTGCCATTCCTTTCTGAGAAATCCCATTATAGGAACCTTCTTTCTCCTCCTTTTAACTAGTCATTTCTTCATTGAAGAGTTGTTTATTCTTCTGTACCTGGATTATATCTCTTGAAAATCTGAGTCTTGAATGCAAGGCTTGTCAGGCATGAAAGACCAGGAGTGAAAGGGCGTTGTTTACCTGAACGCCTATTCTCAACATGATGATGGATCATTCACCAATGGGTTATCTTAACCTTCCTGCTCCACGTGACTAAGTCTGAGTTTATAAATATCAGTACCACGCCATGTGCTCCCCAGTTTTGAGACTAGGCGATATGCGTACGTGTGTACGTCCTTATCATAATACCCCGGCTTCCA